TATCTTGTTATATCTAGAAACATTATGTAGTGCTTTATGTAGTGCTTTTTCAACTGTTAGCCGACTTATGTTATATCTAAAAGCACTACATATGGGAGAAAAAAAATTCCCGCTCAATTGTTAGCTAGTCTTAAACAACAAAAAAGATACATATAAGAGAAAATTTTCCACAGCCGGATTAACTTATACCTAAAAACACTATGTATGAGAGATAAAATTCTACTGCTTAATTGTTAGATAGCTTATCTTATACTTAAAAAAATCTGCTTATATGAGAATTTCCTTGCTCAATTGTTACCAAATTTATCTTCTAATACATAAAAGACTACATATGTGAGAGAAACTTTTCTCGATCAATTATTAGCAAATTTATGTTATATCTAAAAAACTACATATGAGAGAGAAAATTATTTTGTTCATTTGTTAGCCGGCTTATGTTATACCTAAAAACATGACATGTGTACCGTACATATGCACGTGAAATAGCAAGTGCTGAATATATTTTTACTCATGATCCAAATAAATCTTAAAATAAAAACAACTTTTTAGAATTATATGTTTTCGAAAAATAATAGGACAATAAGTAAACATCATCAAGTATAAGCCATAAAATAATTATTCAATGAAGAGTATATTAGGGAAATTTAATTAACACCACTCATTAGAATTTGCTACCTATTAATTTTTATGATCAAATTTATTTTAAAATTAAATATTATTCTAAAAAAGTGAGTACAATAAGTGAATGGTATAAAGTTTAAGTGAATACATACAATAAATATTCAAATAAACGCATATTAGTTAAATAAGAACTTGCTAATCACACACAATATTAGTTAGCAAGTTTATCTTCTAATACCTAAAGGCATTACATATGAGAGAGAAATTTCTCCCGCGCAATTATTAGCAAGTTTAATTATCTTATAATAGTTAAAAGCACAACATATGAGAAAATAATTTTCCCGCTCATGTGTTAACCAACTTATCTTATCTTCTTATACCTAAAAGGACTACGCATGAGAGAGAATTTTTCTGCTCAATTGTTTAGTCGGATTACTTTATACTTAAAAAAACTACATATGAGGGAGAAAGTTTTTCGGCTCAATTGATAGAAAGATTATTTTCTTAATTATCTCCCTATACAGTTATACCTAAAATCACTACATGTGAGAGAGAAAATTATCTCGTTTAAATGTTAGTCGGCTTATTTTATATACTTAAAAGAACAGCATATGGGAGATAAAAATTTCTCGTTCAATTGTTAGCAAGCTTATCTTTTATTTCTAATACCTAAAAACACTACATATGATAGAGAAAAGTTTTCCTCTCAATTAATAGCCAGCTTATCTTATACCTAAAAACACTACATGTGATAATATTAATAATATTTCTGTAATATCATGTAAGAGAAAATAAAATGAGTACAAAAGACGTACGTATGTTGTGAAATGTAAGTAAAGAAATGTGATGTTTAATCTAGATTATGAGAATCTCGTCAATTCATGCTCTGGGTGTTGTTTAAATAAGGGTAAAAAAATTGAAAAACCGAAACTGACCAACAAATTGACCGAAAGTCTATATTGTTTGGTACATAAATGTCATTTGTGTCTAATAGAACAAATGGAAAGGCCAGTTTAGAACAAATAAATCATCACTTTGACTAAAATAAGGATAATAGTGGTTAGAAATGTGACTTATTAGCTTTTAAGGAATTATAATTATGTTTTATTTTATATCAAAGTGACTAAAAAAGTGTACTCATATCCAATTTTCTTACATTTTTATCCATAAATATTTATTTGAGAGATTTTTTGTTATAGTCACTTTGATATAATTTTAAACATAAAAATATTCACTAAAAATTAATAAGTCATATTTTTATTTAATAACCTTTTTGTGGTGATATATGGAGATTTATTTATTTATTTATTTAATACTCCCTCCGTCCCTTATAACTTTGCCAACTTTCCTTTTTTGGATGTCCCATTAACTTTGCCACTTTCCCTTTTAAGTAAAGAATTTGTGGTTCCAGTTAATTCTCTCTCTTCTGCACAAACCTCAACCACACAGTTTTTACTTTATTAATCCCCGTGCCGGTCAAATTTGGCAAAGTTATTAGGGACGGAGGGAGTACAAAATAATTTGTATCAAAGTCTTGAAATTAAGAAAGATGTTCAGTAAACCTTCAATTTTTTTTGAATTATATATATATAATATTGATATCAAAAGATCATAAAAAATTATGAATTTTGACATATTATTCATAAAGATTAGGGAACAATTGAAAAAGTTATAACACATTAAAGAAAATGATGTTTTTTATTAATTGGGCCCCACATATATCGATGTCACGTTTTATACGGAGTAATACAAAATGGTGAGCTTCCTTTGCTGTTTGAATGTTCTGTAATGTCTTTGAGCTTGCCACGTGTCATATGTAGAGTAAAGGAGTGAATTGTGGAGAAAAGAACTCATAGACTTTTTTGAGGATAAAATTGTGTTTTAATGAGCTGTTTCTTTTCTTATATATAAATAGAATAGAATAGATTTAGAATGTTGCACTTATTTTGTAATCAAAAAAACTATTTGTACCACTATTGTACCCACTTCTGTACCCACCATGTCTATGAAGAGTTTTTTTTTGTCTGTGAATCCTGGTCATAGACAAAAATATGTCTATGAAGGCATGGTGGGTACAATAGTGGGTACAATAGTGGGTACAAGAAGAAGCTCCCTTTTGTAATATATGGTCATGCAAAACCTCTGGATGGGAAATGCGTGATATCACCGACTTTTGTAGTACATTTTGATTTTGTAATCGACCGGCCGACCAATCGCAGACAAAGCTTTCTCCTCACCTTTGATGAAGTAACCGTTCCATTACCAGAGACTCGTGGGGGAGGCATTGGTTAGGTGAGTACGATATCACTATTCCTAGTGGCCGACACGGAGGATTTTCATGGAGTACACAGCTACAAGCTAGATATAGGATTGGGTTTGGGGAGGACTTGAAATTCAAAATTTAATAAAGTAAAAGGAAAATGTTTACTACTCCTTCCATCCCGAAAAAGTTCGCCAAATTGACTTTTTTTGTCAATGACAATCAACTTTGATCAATGAATAAAGGATCAACTTTTATCCATACCAAATTTCAGATAAAAATTTAACCAGGAAGACAGTCAAATAATTTTCTGAAATGTATTAATGTACAGGCGTACCGCGTTTTTTAACTGCACATTTATCTTCAAAAATTCATTTGACTACCTTCCCGGTTGAATTTTTAGCTAAAATTTGATATGAGTAAATTAGACTTAATGAAGAAGATGTTCAAAAAATTTCATTAAACAGTTCTGCCGGAAAACGCCCCAAATGGTGGCGGCCGGACAGAGCTTCCTATATAAGGGGTGATTTGCACTTTTTAAGTTAGTTCGAGGGCCTATTTGACCCTTTGGCCTATTTTTTAATACGAAATTATTTAGAATATAAAAATTATATCAAAATATTCTTTATTCCAAATACTTTCATCAAAGAATAAATGTTATCATTTATATACAAATACAATAATTAAAATCATTGTCCAAAATTTGTCATCATTGGCTAATAAAAGTCGATGTAGTGAACTTTTTCGGTATGGAAGTAGTACAATAAAGGTTGATACAGAATTTAAGTAGAAAATGATAGAGATGATGAATAATACGGAGTAAAGAACAATGACAAGAGAAGGTAGATAATATGAAAGAAAAAGTAAAAAGTGAAAAACAAGGATAATTGAATATTTTTAAAGGAACACTTATCGGAAAATTTAACAAAAAAATTAAACATATTCCAAAAGGAAAAATGGATAGAGTACCAAAATTTTAGCCTTGATGAGAGCAACAATATGGAGTTATATTGTTTGGGGCTTGGAGATTGAAAGAGAAAGGGGCTTTTTATCTCGAGTTTGGTTCACTTCGATGTTTTTATTTGTACTAAAGTCTAAAACATTTCGATATAATGTGGTCAAATATTTTTAAATCTAGTATGGTCTTGTTCAATAACCGTTTAATATATCTGCATTTTATTACTCTGTATTATTCAAGTATGATCTACGCAGTCATGGATCCGGGTCAGGCCGGTTCCGGGCCGGGCTTTTTTGGGAAGGAAGAACTGGGACCGGCCCGGGCCTCGGGTCTATTTTTTTTGTTTTCCTTTTCCTAATTAACTCCCCCCCCCCCCCCGCCACCCCCAATCCCCCAAATGGCCCAAAATACTCAGCCCAACCCGAAAAGTTAAAAAAATTGAAAATAAAAAAAATAAAAAACCCGTAACCGGGCCCGAACCAACCGGGCCGGTTCGGCTTTTGGGTGACCCGAGCCCGGACCGGTCACTGGCCGGGCCACCGGGCCAGGCCGGTTCAGCATAGTACCAGTTCCGGGTCGGGCCACCCGGCCCGAGTCCATGACTACATCTACGTAGTATTATTCTACTCTATTTAAAAAAAGTTTTTTGTGTTACTTATTAAGTGTTATGCAGTTTTTAGCTTTGAAAGGTTGTTTTAAAGCTACGATTAAAAAAAGTTGTATTAAAGCTTAAACCGTTTCTCAATTTTCTATTACATAAAGAGCCCGTTTGGAGAACTCTGTTTTCGGCTTATCAGGCTTATCAGCCAGCTTTTTCACCAAACACGTAACTTTTACTTTCGCGCGCTGAATTGTGTAATAAGCCGAAAAAGTAAGGTTGGAGTTACTTTTCTGGCTGTATTGGCTGAAGTTACTGTAGAAGACCATTTTAGCTATTTTTACATATAATTTTTTCTTTAATTTATTAATAAAATATATTTTTAAAATATTTTTTTCTTAAATCAGCAGAATCAGCCAAAACAGCCACTCCAGCCAGAATATCATAAATTTCAGCAGAATCAGCCAAAACAGCCGATTTTGGTGCTACCAAACGGGCTCAAAAAGCATTACATATTCCATACTTTTTTTACCAAACACTAATATTACTTCTTCAAAATGTATTTCAAATGCTATCAACATTTACTCTATTATTTATTCTTCATATAACATTCTGAAATTAATCACTTCTTACAAGTAGGAGCAAACACAAACAGTATCCAAGTCTGGTAGTCCATTCTAATAATCTAATTAAAATCATACCTTGTATCGAGCACAAGATATTTACAATACCTTATAGTGAACTACAAAGTTGTATCATGAAAGAAGTATCGTATTAAAATTCAATTTTTTTTACATGTATCGTATTGAAATTCAATTAGTTAAAATGTATTTGTTAAATTACATTTTAACTCAAATATACGGAGTGTTTGTTAAGTTATACTCCGTAATACTAATACCAAAACTATTATGTACGGAGTAGTAATTTATTCATTGGCATAAACAATGGTTTTTCAGAAACAGACCAACCAGATAATCAGTCCCTGATGAACACGACTGGATGAATGAGCAGCAAGAGGCCATCTCTTCGACAAAGATCCAGCAATGTTATTTACACATTATGATGAAAGCAATCATTTCCCAATCAGGGTTTCTCCCAACGTAACCTCCCACATGTGTCTTCTAGCAGAGAAGCCATGGATCACGGGAAGTAGGCTATGTGATCTACCTATAATCCGACAAGACCATTTCCACTTGAAACTAATTCTAAACTACAGCATTTCAACGATTTGCTGGACGACTAAGATCACACATTCTTACGGGTGAAAATACAACAGTTAGCTTGGCATGATCAGAGAGAGAGTAGTTTTCGGGCCATATTCCCTTCTCAGCTTCCTTTGGGAAAAGAACCGCATTCTGGATGCTAAAACCAATTGTTTCCTCACTGGCATTTTCACTGTCATCCCAAGAGTCATTGTATGCTATGTCTCTTTGTTCAGACCATGTCGGGTTCCATATGCGTTGCTGAAATGAAAAGAGACCATATAATCATCATTCTCATAACACACCTCAAGTATTTTGTAAATACTACTCTGTATGTGACATTCATGTGAGAAAAGGGTAATGTTGTAAAATAGACGATTCGTGCTCCTATTGGTATTCTTACATCTAAAGAGAGTGATTTGGGAACATTTTTCTTATCTCTAAAGAAACTTAAAAAGAGAACAGGGTGAGTAATAGGTTTTGTGTAGTTCAAGCATCATATGTTTTTCTGTTTTCCCTCTAAATTCTGAAAGACAGAAAAGTAGAAAACGTTGTTTTCAGTTTTCCAATTAACATGATCACTAAAAATATGATTCTTTTTAGTTCATTTGACAATATACATCAGTATATCACATACCTTTAAAATCATAAAAAAATGACAAGAATACCAACTGGCCCTAAGCCTATAAAATATTACCAAAAAATTTAAACTGTAGAAAGTTTTAGACTTGCTTTGTTGAAGGAGGGAGTATAATACATGTTGGTACACAAAGTAAATTGAACTTGTCCTATCACATGGAAATAGAGAACGACTTGAAATCAATACCTTGAATTCTTTGTAATCAACAACACCATTTCCATCAATATCTGTTTCGACCCACAAATCACTAATCTCCTGAATACTTAGTCCGTTGCGATGGCCAATTAAATTAAGCTGCAGAATTAATAGAACACATTAGCTATAATTTTATTAAGGTAAACTACAGAAAATATAAACATGATCACACATATATGTAAGTTTAGTTGTTCAATACTACCTGCCGCAATGCTTCATAGAAATCTGAATATGTAATGCAATCATCATCTCTATCAGCCTTCAAAAAGGCAAATGCATTTTCCTCTGACAAAGAGGCTCGGCGAAGTTGATACTGAGAATGGAAAGAGTTCATGAGTAAACACTAGTTAGAGAAATAATGTCTTTGGCTAGAATGAAATGATAAAATTCAGGTATGGGGTGTGGTTACTCACTCCATTAGGTCGCGAGACACATGGACAAAATCATACTACGTGCTAAAAAAATAAATACAATCTATTAGCTAATTCAGCCCATCATCGTCTCATTAATTTCTAGATGTGGACTTACAACCCTCCCTCTCAGAACAAAAAAATGGACAGACAAAGTGGGGCACAACCTGAGTTTGACATCTCAGATTGGGTTATAAGACGCTTAAGTCAACCACACTAAAGATTATAACTGATCTGTTAGCAAATTCGATGCAACTAAGCAGTCTTAATAATTCATCATTTTCTCTCTAATTTTCCTATGTAGAACTCCAACATGACACTAAAAGAGAGCAACAAATTAATTGAAGGTTATGACCGTTCGACTAAATATCTTTTATACCAAATTGAAAGTCATGATCCTCCTTAACTTAAAGCTTTAAGATGATATAAGCAGTTAGACTTCAGATTTAAATATGTAATATGTATATCAACCTTAAACATCCCAAAGATGGCCTGACTCCAACTTGTTTTTAGCAACTTTCTGTATTTAGTAGGATTAAGGAGCCATATAAAATCTACTCCACAGATGTTCCCTCGATGATTACGATGGCTCACCCACTGCATAAAACAAAAATGAAACATGAGACAAAATATAATGAGCTTCGGTTGTAAGTAATTACAAATTCCAAAGAGGAGAGATGAGGTTGGACCTTATGTGCATCTGCATCGGTGTACTGATGTGCAGTATCATATGATGATACAAATCCCTGAGACCTCAAAAACTTGTAAACATGTCCTCTTTTGCTTCCATTCCAATCCCTGCAAAATTGTATGTCATCAACTGATCCAGAATCTATATATACAAACAGAAGTCATATGCATCACGTGAAAAAGAAAATTACCCACAGAGCATGATCGGCAAAGGGTTAAGCTTATTTTCTTTTTTATATGATTCCACATATTCCAATATTTTATACACCTGTGAAAATAAAAAGAGTTCACTACATTAGCTTGATGAGGGCACTGGGCACCACTTATTTCCTCTTTACATATTATTGGTAAATTAGAATACGGAAACGGAATATCTAAAATTATAAATACCTGACGCAATCGTTCCAAGCAAAGACTTGAATCGTGCGGGAAAAGCAAGTGTGTGTTAACTATAAGCATTTCTTGTCTAACATTATTATTCCGGCATGCTGAGGGGGGTAAAACTAGCTCAACATGTAATAACTGTGCAACTCGGTCTCCAAAATCATTGAAATGCAACTCTTGATGGCTTATTACTGTAAAGTAATCCTTGTGAACAGCAGTCAGCAGACCTATTGGATATCAATGAAAATAAATATATGACATTCACTACAACTTTAATCAACATTAATTTTGAACACTTTTTAATCAATAACAGGTCTGCTAAAGGTCTTTCATATATTTAAGCTTCTTTCTAGAAGTTCAACCTTATATGAGGAGGTGCAGAAGAACATCTAAAGGTCTAATATGTGAACTTGTATTTTTGTATTCTTATATACAATTTTGTATTTGAGCTCACTGCAACATACAAGTGCTAAAAAGTTTACATAGCCATTGTGTCCATCAATAAAAGCTACTATCGATATCTTATTTGCAGTTTATGAAGTTACTATTTTATGAAATATCATATTCACAGCTAACTTTTGTTCATTGATATCATATTTGCAGTTCATAAAAGTTAAATAAAAAACGTTCATCAAAATGAAAATTACTTTGGAATATATAGGAATTAACAATGATAAGAAGACACATAAGAAGCCGATAAAGAGGAAAATTTGGGGCACATACCATCACCACGGCCGTTAGTTCGGCCAAGCTTAAAAATAAGATAGCCAGCATCTCCTAGTCTCTTGTTATACAGATCAACAAGCTCTTCATTCCCAACCCAAAATTCCTTGAAACATATTTTTCAACATAGTTTTAGTTTGGGCATCACCATAAAGTCACAAACAATGCAAAATAAACTAATTTCATAAATTTCTTATAAATAAGTAACAAAACAGAGAGAGATGACTAAAACCTTCCCCGTATTTGGGGTTACCGGGTTAGTTTTTTTTTTTTGCTTGTAACTTTTACCTGAAGGCAAATGATGGAAGATCTTTCAAGCAATAAACAATCCAAAATCCTCTGGTTCCTATCCAGCCAAAACTCCCTGAAATGGCTTTCTCTAATGCTGGGTTCCTGCTTCAATTTTTTGTTTCTCAAAATTATCACCAATAATCTAAAACCCAAACTTATTACTTCAAAAACATAAGAAAACATAGAATAATGATTGAAGGCAAAACACGGATGTAAAAAAGCAAAAACAAATACCTCGTGAGCGATTCTTTTGTAAATGGGGGCAAGGATATTGAAGGTTGTGCAAGAAACTGAATTGGGGTCAGAGATTGAAGAAGCAATCGCATAGCTGCCGATTCTAGAGGTCCTCCCTTTTGTTTCCTTCCTCCCCATTGTGTATTTTTAGCCTATAAATGTAGGATTATGTATGCACAGAGAATATGTTTATGTATGATTAAATACAGACTTGAAAATTGTGTGTCCAGAATGGGAAACAGACAAGGAAGAGGAAGGCAATAGAGAGAGAGCAGAGAAACTAGAAACAACAAATGACAGAATGGAGTAGAGGGGACGATGAGGGCTTTTATGGTAAGGCAACAATGTTAATGAGAATTTCTATGGGTCTGCACATTCTGCCGGGCCGAGATTTTATAATGCTGAGAGCGAATCTGTTTTTGTGGGGCGGAGTCTAGGAGAGGAGGAAATCCGGAGAATCAGCAAATATGCTGTAGTATTGCAGTTCATAAAGCTAATTGATAGACCTTTCCGAAAAAAAAGTAAAGTTAATTGACAGAGTACGCAATTTTTTACTCACAAGAATTTAGGGCCTTGGCTATCGTATCCCATGGTGTATTTGGTTTTGTCAATTCAGTTTTGAATTTTTTTTATTGAAATTCAATACATAATTGGAGTAACAAAAGTTTGGTTTCAAGTTTGGTAAGGTTATGACACCGTTTGGTGACTCCAGTTTTCCATTTATCATTAGTTCATTTTTTTTCACAAACACGTAATCTTGATATCACATGTTGAATTGTGTAATAATTAAAATAAGTTAGATTGAGAGCCTATTTGGTAAAATTGAAATTGGCTGAATCGACTGATTCTGCTAAAATTTATGAAATCTGGTTGAAGTGGCTGGATTGACTTATTCTACTAATTTATGGGGAAAAATTAAAATATTTGTACTAATAAAACAAAGAAAAATATATATGAAAATACAAATAAAATGATCAACTACAGTAATTTAATCCAACATAGCCAGAAAAGTAATTTCAACCTTATTTTTTCTTATTATTGCACAATTCAGCGCGCGAAATAAAAAATTACATGTTTGTTAAAAAAGTTGGTTGATAAACCTGATAAGCATAAAAACAAAGTCACCAAACAGGCTCTGAGGTTACTTTTCTGACTGAAATTACAATAGAGAATCCTTTTAACTATTTTCACATAAGTTATTTTGATTGTATTACACAATTAAATCGCAAAATCAAAAGTAAGTTATTTGATGAAAAAAAAGGTTGATAAGCTCAAAACTAATTCTCCCTCTGTCCCGTTGAGATTGTGCATTTTTCCTTAGCTTTTCGGCTTATCCCACTAAGATTATCTCATATCAAATGTCATAAAGTTCGTGTAATCGTGTGATTCTAAATCATTCTTACTTTATAAATTTAATATCAATCACATAAACTCATTTTTCTTAATAATCACAACATGTCCTCATGTCCCAATGTTAGCGAGATATGGGTAGTATTACCAAACAAGCTTTAATTCAATTCTACTTATTTAATCTATTTAGATGTTATTAAGCGGGCTCCGTATTTGAACTCTGAAACGTGAAATTGTGTTTTGGCTGAGTGAGCCTATTTATCATTTGATTGAAAAATAACACATAATAAAAAAATCAAACATACAACTCAAAAAAATAATGGAAATATATCACAAAAAATAAAATAAAATAAAATAAAATAAAATAAAATAAAATAAAATAAAATAAAATAAAATAAAATAAAATAAAATAAAACGGAGAAGGAATGAATATATCCCTGAGTTAGGATGTTTTTAACTAGACTGAAATTGTCTAGGCTGGTCGGAATTGGTCTGATTTCGCCTGGTAAATGTCTAGTCTCTATGTATTTTATTGTTATTCAAGTCTGATCTATGTATTCTATAGTGAGACGGTCGAATCGTGTTTCCAACCCCAGCCTTTTGTAGGGCTTTTCCCATGGTTTTCAAATTTTACGGCTTTGGACTTATTCGGGTCCGGACTAGGTCTAAACACTGGTTTTCAGGTAAACACGGTTTTGATCCCTTTAACAGTTTGATACTTAGTTGTACCGTCCGGTCCAATTCGGTTCTTAAAACATATCTACTATGAATTTTATAGTCACTACGATGTAACATTTGAATATATTTATAGTTATTAAAGTTACTAGAGTCACATTTTTGTTCACTCCTTTTATTTTGATTGCATATTTAGAATTATTCTCCGATAAAAACAGTAGCAAAAAATGCTCCTAAGAATAACTGAATAGGCAATAAAAGCATATCAAAGTTATGCAACAAACAATAAATTTTTTAAAAAGTAAAAAATAATCAATATAGTATGGAAGGAAAGTGTGTGAATTTTTGTAAAACAAATTAAAAATAAATAAAATAACCTAAAACTTGAAATAAGAATTTCGTAATAACTATATCACTAGAAATTAATTTTGTAGTACATAATAAAACTTAATTTTATAATATTAGAAATCCAAATACTAAATGGATCCACTCACTGTTTGTTGATTAATCTTGAAACGGGTACAAGGTACAAGGTCTGGACCTCTGGTGTGCACGAGTGCAAGGTTTATCACCATTGGACTGACTAAGTCACTGTGCAACCTCCCAAATGCCATGTCAGAGCGTGAGGCTTTTGGGGTTGGGGATTCAACCTTTTGGAACATTGATTAATCTTGAAACAACAAAATAAGAACTTACTTTGCTCCATACATGGTGATATTCTGAAAACCCTAGGTGAGAGGCGAACTGTGGCATTGTGCCTTTAGCCTCTCGCACTCCAACCTGTTGCGTTGCCGCGGTCCGCCTGCCTCCAAGAGTCCAACCGCCGTCCAGCCTCCAGATTCATGTAAAGTTGAAAGAGCACGGACAACGCATCCAAACAGGTAGCGAATTCCATGTCTTAGTCTAGGTTGCGGAGATGCTTGATAAGGGTAGTATGACCTAACTGCACTACTCTTGTTTTCTGGTTGTGTTTGTTCTGTGTTTTACCGGCTATTTTCCAGGCACTGGCACTCTGGATTTTTTTGTAACCCTTAATGTGGGGAGTTGTTTTTGTGTCCCAGCCACCTTTGTGTAGTCAGGGGTTTCTGACCGCTTTCTTTTGGACTGCATAGATAATGGTAGATCTCATCCACCATCATAACCACCTTCGTGTCAAGAAAAGTTTTGTACACAGACTTTATTTCAATTTTATTTTTCCTTCAATAGTACTTATTTTTATTTTACTTCGAGTAGGTTTGGTTTAGATATTTGGAATTCTTGCTAGACAGTGTTTCAGTTCCGATTTTTTTAGACTTACATTTGCCCGTTTTGTGTCTAGCGAATCAGGTTGCTTTGTATGAGTTGACTGATTCTATGTCTATTTCTAAGACTTATGATTGACTCTGGCATAACTATATAGAGATTGTTTTGTATGATTTCTTGACACTAATATAAAAAGCCACACTTTTCTATTAAAGAAAAAACTAAATAATAACAATGAAATTTTGACTATTAATGCTCAATGAAACACCTCTCTCTAGAAACCCTATAGGCTGATGGCGGCGTGTCATGCAACTTGCCTCTTCTCTTCTGATTCAACAATGGCAAAGACGACATGAATCATACGTGCGGCCAGGGTTTCAACACCATCTTAGATTCTCAGGGCTGCGACAAATAGCAGGTTACAGATTCTTGATAGGGTATGATCCAACTACACTGTTTTGCTTTTCGGATTGTGTTTGTTCTGTGTTATGACGGTTCTTTTCCAGACACTACTGGCGCTCCGGGTTGTTATGTCTCCCTCGGTGTGGAGAGTTATTTTGGTTTCTCGACCATCTTTGTCTGGTCAGGGAATTGTATTTGCCTTCTTTTGGGGCACTTTGGAAATGATAGAGCTCGTCTTCCTCCAGAACCACCTCTGTGCCACGTAGAGATTGGTGGAAAGGCTTTATTTCAATTTTACTTTTCCTTTAGTAGTACTTATTTTTATTTTACTTCGAGTAGGTTTGGTTTGGATATTTGAATTTCTAAAGTACTTTTGATAGGCAGAATTTTAGTTCTAATTGTGTTAAGCTTACATTTGTCCGTTTTGTGTCTAGCGAATCAAGTAGTTTTGTATGATGTGACTGGTTCTATGTCTATTCTTAGGGCTTATATGATCGGCTCTGCCATAACTAGTTTAGAGGAAGTTTTGTATGGTTTCTTGATGTTATTATTATTATTATTATTATTTATCATCAAAACAAACCGCTTATATTAATATCATTAGGAATCAGATCGTTACAACAAACTAAAAAAGACCAACCTTGACAATAACTACCCATAACCAACTAACACTATCAACCCTACAACTAGATTCAGAAACGATCACCCCAAAAGAGCAATACGAATCGCTAATATAACCATTAAGCCGGTGTGACACTGCAATCACTGGTCATATAGATTCTTCTAATGACATAATATCTAGCAGAATTGTCAATCATAATAGTAAACCTAAAACTAAAGAAATCAACAAAAAACAGAGCAACACAAAACATAACGCAAAAATAAAACCATAAAAATTAAATAACTAATAAATCTTCCAAACCCTAACACCTCGATCGCTCCAAGGCGGCGGTTCAGGAGGGGGGTGGACAGTGGACTGCTGATCTGTCTTCTTCCTTACTCAGCCCTTCACCTCTCTCCGTCTTCTCATAGCCCGTTCTGCCTCCACTATCACCATCGTCCTATACCCATGTTGCGCCAAATCTAACCCTTCGACCTCCTCATGTGTAGAAATGAGACAAATGTCATTTATGCATCAAGAGAATTCTTACTTCACGACTTCACGTTTCTTGATGTTATTATAAAAAGCCGCTCTATTATTAAAAAAAAAAATGCTCAACGGAACAATTACAATTCAGTTAAGTTGTTGCATTGTTTTTGGAGGTCCGATTTGGATTAATGCTCAATGGAACAACTACAATTCAGTTAAGTTGTTGCGTGGTTTTTGGAGGGTCCAATTTATTTTTGGTTAGGTTCGTTTTTTTTGGCAAAGTTAGGTTCATTTTTTCGTTTCACTTTTTTGTTTCTCAAGTAGACTCTTAATTGAGCTCCGCCTCCAGGATGGTATGTGATGGTTCAATTGCTATACGTTGACTTCTAAGGTTTATTTTTCAAAAGACATGCTTCTTAACCAATATATGGCGTCAATGGGATGGAAGGGCGGTCGTGGCCTTGTGAGTTTTGAAAAGTGGAGATCGAGAAGCAACTCCTAAATTTATATACCTGATAAGGTTCCCTAAGTAATTGGTCACAAAAAAAGATAAGGTTCCCTAAGTATGACTGTATGAGTATTTAATTGAAACTTCGAAAATAGTATTTCCTTGTCTCACTAATAATGGTACAAGATGGAGTACACACATACCAATAAAAATGAGTTTATGTGATTGATATTGAATTCATAAAATAAAAATGATGAGCCATGCAAATGTTACTTAATTCGGCATGACATAATGTTAGTAGAACATGTCAAAAGGAAAAATTTGGACAATCTGAAAGAGATGGAGGGAAGATAAAAATCTACTAGTATTTCATACGGAAACCGGCGTAGTTGTCTTAGGGAGTATTATTTTGGTTACATCTACTAGTATAAAAATCCACTAGTATTTTGATTACATCTACTAGGAAAATTGGGACAATTTTAGGGGATGAAGAAGAGTATAAAAATCTACTACTATCTCTGTCTCATTTTATGTGTCTCATTTGGTTTTCGCACAATTCTTAAGAAATTTGTTGAAAATGTAAAAGTTGTGGTTGAGATTTAAGTATAATAAAATAAAATTTTGTGAACCACATATTTTTTTTCAAAAATAAAAAGTGACACTTATTTTAAAACAACTCAAAAAAGGAAAATAAAACAGGTAAAATGATATGGAGGGACTACTATTTTATACTAGTGGAGGGAGTTTACATGTTTTACGCTGCTTTCGGCAGGGCGGCATCTTTTAACCAATGGCGACCAATGCTTTTGAAGAAAGAAAGAAAGAAACAAATGTACTCCGTAGGTGTTAGTGTCCTCCGTACTTTCTATAGCCAATAACAGCAGGACGTGTGCTGGGAATTGATTTTTGTTACATGAACGGCTGAACACGAAGACAAGGCCTTTCTGTCTGTGTCCAACCCATGTACGACAGCAATTTGTGAACTTTTATATTCTAAATTTCCTCCATGCAGTGTATTGAACGGCTGTGATAAAATAATGATAAATAACTAACAAATACTCCGTATTCGACAACAGCACATCACTTCCTTAATTCCTCAATCACAGGACCTGAATTTGAAGTTCGGATTCCAAATAATGAATTTAGCCCTCTAAAATGAGAAGGAATACAAAATTTAACAAACAAATACAAATATACAAATATATTATACTCCCTCCGACCTCCGTCCCTCAATACTTTGTCATGGTTGACCGACACGAGAACTAATAAAGTAAAAATTGTGTGGTTGAGATATGTGCAGAGGAGAGAAAAATAACAACCACAAATTCATTGATTAAAGGGAAAAGGTGCAAATAGGCCCATGTACTAACAAAAAAAGGTCAAATAAGACCTTATTTAGGAGGCTCTGTCCGGCCTTCGCCATTTGGAGTGGTTCCCGGTGGAATTTTTTGATGAAATTTTTTGAGCATCTTATTCATTAAGTCTAGTTTACTCATACCAAATTTCAGCTAAAACTTCAATCCGGAAGGCATTCAAATGAATTCTTGAAAATAACTGCGTAGTTAGAAGCGCAGTTATCTTCAAGAATTCATTTGAATGCCTTCCCGATTGAAGTTTTAGCTGAAATTTGGTATGAGCAAACTAGACTTGATGAATACGGTGCTCAAAAAATTTCATCAAAAAATTCCACCGGGAACCACCCCAAATGACGACGGCCGGACAGAACTTCCTAAATAAGGGCTTATTTGACCTTTTTTGGTTAGTACATTGGCCTATTTGCACATTTTCCCTTGATTAAAAGGCCCATCTAGTGACCATCTGATTATTATGGTGACAATGGAGAAAGAGATGAGGGCTAGGCATAGAGCTAATATCAAATTTGGAAATATCTGGCTGAAAGAAGCTAAGAGAGAATGTAGAGATCTTATTATTCGATCCCGGTGGAGTTCTGAGAACTTATCCATTTGGCAGAGATTGGAGATGTGTGGACATGATTTAAGTGTGTGGAGAAAATATAGATCCTTGGGCTTTCATAGCAGCATTGAGGTTTGCAATGCTAGATTAAATCAACTCTGGAGTGAGGGAAACAATTCTGACATAGGCAAGTGCATGCGGACGAAGGCCACTTTACTTGATCTATTACATAGACAAAATAAATTTTGCCAGCAAAGAGAAAAAGAGTTCTAGCTCAAAGAAGGGGACAAGAATTCTAGGTTATCCCAAAATGCAGTGAAATAGCGTCGAAGGAAAAATTATATAAAAAACCTGAAACGGGGTAATAGGGAATGAAAGGTGAACATAGAGAGAATGAGCACTATAATTGAATTCCATTTTACGGAGATCTTCTCATCGAATGATGTATGCATCGATCATCTTGAATTGTTTGGAGTCGATCATCGAATGAGCACTACTGGGATATTTTGGGTGGTGATATTGTGGCTTTCGATGGGGATTTTCCCTAGGGAGGTAAACCGCACTAATTTAAACTTAATCCCTAAAAAAGATAAACCTGCTTCTTTAGGTGATTGAAGACCTATTTCCCTTTGCAATGTTGTGTATATACGTTTATTTCTAAAATCCTGGCTAACCATATGAAAGGCTTTCTAAAAGGACTAATTCCAAAAAACCAGTGTGCCAAGGTTTATTGCGGATAATATAATGGTGGTGTTTGAGTCGCTACATTTTTTTTAAAAAAAATAGGAGAAATGGAAAAGAAGGGTATGTTGCGCTCAAGCTAGAAATAAGTAAAGCCTATGATAGGGCAGAGTGATCTCATCTTATAACGGGTTAGAACTTATTATGAACTATGATTAAAAAAAATTGGTTCAGTTAATTGGATAATGCATAGGTTGTGTGGAGTATTTTATCCCTTTTGATAGGAGCGTTGTTGGGCCCAAGGCCGTCTTTTAGGAGGTGCAATAGGTGCTTCGCACCGGGGCCCACGTTTATAGAGGGCCTCCAAATATTTAGTATGTGTCATACATGTATTAGTTATAGGTTGCGTTTTCTATCTATTGTGTATTAGTTCATATTCTAAAACGTGTGTTATGTCACAACAAAGACTCAATGGTTTGACAATGATATCAAATTGTGAATGAAGCTCTCTACAAGATAGAGTATAAAGATTTAAGTGATGGTTTTGCTTCGAAAACTGCTAGGAGGACAATCATATTCATGTGGATTTTCATCAGCGATGTAATATTACTTTAAGATTGTTTAATTTGTGTATTTTAAACATTATAAAACTTATAATTTATTTAACTATATAGTCTTTTTGTATTTCATTATTAAATTTGTTATTCTTTATCGTTTCAGAGGGCCTCAATTCGCCATTTGTAACCGGGGCCTCCAAATTCATTAGACGGCCCTGGTTGGGCCTATAATGCTATCTGAAGAATGCCATTGATACCAACTGAGTTCCTAGTGAGGTAAAAGTCTAGGAGGGGGGGGGGATAGACTTTTAAATCTTTTTGGTTTTCAACCCCTTTACCTCTTTCAATGATTCCTTACAATGAACGAACACTTGCTTTTGTAAAATAAATTTATACTCCGTAAGAAATTTATAATGTGATTAAAATTTCTTATAAATTTACTTTTTATCCAATTGTTATTTTGACTGCAAGTTGGTCTTTTTGTCTAAGTGTTTTGTGCCAAGAGAAGAGAGAATTGGATTTCGAATGCCTTGACTGAATTTCCAGATTTCAGCTGGCAGCCAAGTTGGGAGCTGACTGCCAAAATCTGGGTTTTGCAGTAGGCTTCCTAACAATGTATATCAGTTAACTCTTTTTGTACCTTTTTCTTTTCGATCTTTTTCTTCTTGTTTTATGGTACGTTTAACTTCTCTTTTTAGTACTCTTTGCTTTTTATGAGTACTTTACCACTAAATATGAAGCACATTACAAATAAACAAAGTAGAACATAAGTAGTAGACTAGTCTAATACAAGGATAAAGGGGTTGGGCATCATCAAAACTACTTCATCAAAATCAGGGACCTAACACTATCCAAGGGTATCAGACGGGGGACCCTCTGTCACCATATCTCTTTATCCTTGTGGTGGAGGATTTGAGTGCTCTACTCAAGCGACAGGAAGCTATGTGCAATATTATGGGTATTCCGATGGCACCTGGAGCTTCCATAGTTTCACATCTATTCTTTGTTGATGATAGTTACCTGTTTTTAAGGCCTAGGTGAGCGTGAAAAGAGAAAATGATGACTCGATTCTCATCGGAATATTCCCCAAGTAATCAAATACAAGATTTATCCAAATTACATTAATTAAAGTCATTAAGGCATTTTCACAAACACATTACAAGCAATAAAGTTCACTATTTATTACACAACATTTCAATCAGATCCAAACAACCCCTAACCCATCTAACTACTCATGCATTGGAAATAAAATAAAAAAGGTAACATTAAAGTGCATAAATAAAGTTGAACACTAATACTTTGAATTTAACACTAATGCAGTGGAAAAATATCACCTGAATAGAAAAGAAATTATTCATTGAAGTGAAAAAAGAAAGCTTGAATCTTGGAGAACATCTTTCTACAGATCTACACTAAAATTTAGAGAGATAAATGTAAAAACTCTTACTAAAATGTAAAAACTATTGTAAGTGGGTCTCCTCTAGGGAGACGGTCCTCTGCCGCATGGCAGAGTGCCTTGCGCAAATCCGACAATAAGAAGGACACGAGCAACATTTGGGACGAGGGAAGAATAATTTGATCCGACGACCTAATCTTGACAGGCACCCTACCTGGCGGCAAAGCCAGAGAGGGAATCTATTGTACTAATATAATAGATTGTGAACAGAATGGTAATATTTACACAGTAAAATTTGGAGTTGGAGAATGACCACTAAAGGTAGAAGGTCTGGAGAAAGGGAGAATAATTTTGTTCACCCCATCAAAAGAGGATGAACATCACCTCCACCGCATTGGGCTGCCACATGGCATGACAATTATTATAAATTTTGCAATTTTTATAATTGTTTCAATTTTGGTTCATTTTTTCCAAAAAAAATATATTAATATTTTTAATTTTTTTATGATCTTTCATATTATACAAATATTACATATGTAAAATTAAAAAAAATCCTAATAAAAATGGGCTTAAGGATGACCGGATGGGAGTGGAGGGTTGACTAGTGGAGAGTCATATTTTGACTAGACAATTTGGATTGACTAGTCAACCCTAGTTTGACCCGGGATTGACTCTTATGATTTTAGCCTTCCGTGCTTGTCTCGGGATGCTAAATGTCGTCTGAAATCTCATAAAAACAATAAAAACGTTAGTAGCACCCGTTAACAAAACAAAATCGAGAATTGAAAGTATTAAAGCGCATAAATCATAAATAAACCTGGAATTCAATAAAATATGAGATTAAATGAGTGATTAACATACGGAAAATTTGAGAGTTTATCAAACACATATATATCTAATTAAAGTATGAATATTTCATGAAAAATGTTACTTTGTACATACTTCCTTTGTCTCAAGTAATTGACTCTTTTGGATCAACCAGACTCATTTATTTACCAACTTTGGATATGAATTCTTAATTTAATTTTGAATTGAGTTTTGCAACTTCAAAGAGGCTGTAATGTAATTTCTGAATAAGTAAATTTTAATTGTTAAAATTGAGTTAATTATTAATAGGGAAGATTTAACTTTAACATTGTTGACAAATAATATTGACTTTACAAAATAATTAGAAATTGGAGTAGTATATAATTTGAAAACTTTGGTTGTCCTGTCAATGTGTATTGAGCTATACTGTGGTGTACATGTCGGCAAGAGTGAATAACATTTCTTTTTGATTTGATGTGTTGAAACCTCGACCATGTAACCAACAATTTTGTGAATTAAAGATCGATAGAGCAACATATCTGACAAGAACCGACAAATGCCAAATTGACAAAATGTAATTATAATAATGCAGAAATGTCAAAGAAAAAATATTAGAGAACCGACAATTTAATTATTTTAAAAGTCCTAGATAACGAAATGAAATTGACTCAACTACTGAAATGTTCAATACCAATTTTAAAGTCAATTTCTCCAAAAGCAGTTTTCTTTTGACTCTATAGTGTATTCTCTTTTTAAAAAATAAACTAATTAAATATCACTCACTAAGAATAATGAATTGAACTTATTAATTTTTCATGTCAATAAGGAGTATTAAAAAGTTCAATGAATTGAACTAATTAATTTTTCAGACTAATATTCAAATGCCAAATGAATTAAACCAATCTCAAACCAATACTCTAAAGCACAATGAATTGAAGTAATTAATTTTTCAGATCAATATTCAAAAACCCAATGAATTGACCTAATTAATATTTCAAATCAATATTCAAAAGTTCAATGTATAAAATTGATGAAGATCAAATGTAAATGGATATGTTTGAAAGAATAATTTTCTACTCTTCTTCATGTGTGGAATAAAGAAATGTCGGAAAGAAAATTGAAAGTTTTAAAAAGAAAAATCAGTGTTGCACTAAAAGAAGAAGGGCCTGGGGTTAAAACTCCAGACCTTAGGATAGACTAGACGCTGCATTCACTTCCATCAGGCCAAGATGACAAGTACGTAGTATCAAATATTTGACTTTAGCTAGTATTACCCCATATCTACGAAACCAAGCATTCCAGCTCAACTGGTTGTGAGGTTATCGTGCCTAGTGGGAGGTCTTGAGTTCGTATCCCCCTAGGTACACAAGGGTTGGAAACTCATTGGATTGAGTTTCAGCCTTGATTACTCCAGGCTCCCCCAGCCCCCTCCCCCAGATCCCCCTGGAGTAAAAAAAAACATAATATACGAGTATGTATTAGTAAGTTTTTTTTTGAGTGTGGGTCTAGGCCCTCCCTGGACCTAGCCTAGATCCGCCCCTACATATAACCATTTTACGTTCCTAGCGTTTTCAATTCCAATGATAATGATGTAGATGAGATAAATGATGACACAATATGATAAGGTGAAGATGGAAGCTAATGAAGAAAGAATATGAATAAGATGAAAATGGTGAAGATGTGTTTATATTATTTATTATTGCGTCGTATGTATTTTCTATTTTCACGGTATTATTACAATATAAATACAATTACACGTAGTACAATTTATACGGGTATTAAAATTCAATTGTTTTTCAGGGTAAAAAACACTCCCTCCGTTCTTTTTTAAATGCAACATTGGACTTTTTCCACTATTCACGCGTTCTACTTTGATTCTATTTTATTTATTAATGTATTATAAATTAAATTTAAAAAAAAATATTGTTAAATTCTTCTCATTTCAAATTTTCAAAATCTATTTTTTTTAATTTTTTACTAATAAGGCATGGAAGATATTAACGGTCAAACTTGTGCGTTGGCAAACGTGAAAAGTGGACCGTTGCATTTAAAAAAGAACGAAGGAAGTATTTTGTAATAATAACATCAATAACTGATTCGTCCTTATTAATTCCTTATACGAGTAAAGCAGCATCACTCATCCACGTAAGAATAGTATGAGTGTATGACGGCTCATTCGTTATTAATCTGTTATAGTGGTAATAAGGGAATGGGGATTTACCTAAATGGGAGTAATTAAATTCTAAACTGTCAAAATAGGACTAAAGTTAAAAAAACCCCTAAATAGGAGTTATTATTTAAATCTGGACAATAATACCCTCAAAGACAAAATACTCTCAGCGATACATAGCCTGACCAGCCGCCTCCAACCGCCGCCGGCCACCTCCGATCGTCGCCGCCGCCGCAGTCCCAAATCTAGCAGCCGCTGCAGATCTGATAGTCGTTGCCATAGATTTGGCCGTCGTCTCCCTAGATTGGGCCAGATCTGGCCTTCGCAGACTGCCGTACGCCTCCCCTGCGGGTCCAGCAGCCGCCGCCGCAGATCCGGCCACTGCTATTGCAGATCTGACGGACGCCATTGTTGATGCCAACTTTTTGACCAAAATGCCAACATGAAATTATGCCATTTTAATGGAATTTTCAAAGAAAAATATGAAAATTTTAAAGAATAAGAATGCCATTTTAATGGCATTTTCAAAACAAATGGCAATTGTAACAACCAAATAGCGTTTATTCGAACCATTGGTATCCTCCCAGAAGCCAAGTAAACCACGGCAGATATCAACCATCATTGACCAACACAAAGCAATTAAAAACCCAAATGAGGAAGAAGAAGAAGCAAAGAGAAAATACAGATGCAGATCGAAGGTAAAGAAGAGAAAAGAAACGGAGGAAGAGGTAGATCTAACGCACGCTGCCGCTCCTCGCCGTCGCACGCCGTCGAACGCCGTCGCCTCTCGCCGGGGCTTGCTGCCGTTCCTCGCCACCACCACTCGCCGTTGAAGCTAGCCTCTATTGCGCACAAAGTTGCGGCTTGGTTATGAGCG